CTCGACATTAGCCGAGCTCGACGCCATCATCACGGTAACTAATTAAGCCTCTCTCGGCCGAGGACTTATCTCCTTGCCTTTGACTGGGCATCCCTGACGCCCTACATGTTTTCGCAGGGCGCCGCCGACGTTCCGTGCACTCTCCTCCACTTCGTGAACAACGAGTTGGTCGATGTCGCCAAGGGCAAAATCGTTCAACTGGGCAACCCCTTATTCCACGGTACCCAGATGCCACCCAACTTGTTTAGGGTTCAACTGGTTCGGGTGCTGCCAGGCTGCGACGACTTGTTACCTCCGATTCGACCCGTCGGGGCCGACGATGATGACGTGATGACCCTCAGCGCCTGCCTGAGCTGGCCCCTGCTTTGGCCGAAGAGCCAGATTCGTTTGGGGGCGGGGGACACCACCCCAAAGACAACACCGCCAGTCGTGCCGGCGCCAAGTCGGCCCCATGGCAAGACCGCCGTAACGGTGCCGGACATCCCTATGCCACTGGATCCAAACATGCATATGGCACAGGATCAGAACGATGACGACGACGAGGATGATACATTTGGCAACGTCGATCAGTACTTTGCCGAGCATGGGTAGGATGGCGACTTCATGGGGCCTCCTTCTCAAGAACCAAACCCAACAAAAGACGTGTGCGATCTAGCTCGTACCGCGGAGAAGCCAAGTTGCAACAGGCGCCGTCTGGCGTTCAGCTCTCAGGAGACGCCTCCAGCTGCCGACTTCACCGAGCCTCAGATAGGCGAGGTGCGAAATATTATCAGCCCCAACACACTCAAGAAGGCGGTCTGTGAGCAGAACTCGGTCCCATTACAGGAGAAGAAGAAGGCACGCAAAATAAAGAGTAAGAAGGGTGCGAGCCAGCCGGCACCGAGTACGATCCGTGCTCAGGACGGGCCACCTTCACCGCTGGATATCTCGAGGAGGGTGCATGTGGCGGGTAGGGCAATGCTACCACCAAATATGCTCAATGCTGCAACCGGTGCTATGCGGAGTCTGCACGATAGTGTTCTTTCTTTGGAGAAGCGGCGTCTCAGAGAGAAGGATGTGGCATACCCGGTTTTCGTGGCCAAGGTGCCAAAGGGCAAGGGCTTTGTGGATGGCGACATCGGGGGTACGATCGTCCTGCGGTTTGATGACATCTTTGCTATGTTTAACCTTCATCCGCTGCACTACACCTTCGTTCGGCTATTTTCGCTGAGTATGGAGATGCGGATCATTCGCGACAAGACCCCGGACATCGTGATAGTCGACCCCTTCTACATGCGTGCCAAGATCTTGGGCAGCGCTGGGGACCGGCAAGTCGCGAGTTCTTACCTCGAAGGCGTCATTCTGGCAAACCAAGATAAGGATAACTTCCTCGTGCCTTACTTTCCCGAGTAAGTCCTCGCCTCAACCGGCCCGTAACATATGAATTCTTACTTTTCGATCGTTTTTCTTTTAACATTCCGTGTTTTCTGCAGTGACACACGTTGCACGCTCATCCTCCTAAGCCCCAAATATTCCATGGCCACGTATTTCGACCCGGACCGTCAGTCGAACGTAGACTACACAAATGTCAAGAAGGTTCTTGATGATGTTCTCCCCGGCTACGCCCAATCTGGAGGCACCTTCACCAGGCCTATTCGTAAGTACGGCAAGCACGTGTTCTCCCACAATACGACGTTCTGCTGCGTCAAGCAGCCGCCTGGCGGTCAGAAGGGTGCCTACTACGCCATCCATCACATGCGGGCGATCGTACGGGACCATCATCAACTTCTGCTACCGAGTAAACTCCAAGATTGGGCCGCGAGCGTGTCGGCAATCCAGGACGCGGACCTCCGACAAGAATTCTTTCGCATCCAGTCGGAGTTTGCGGAAATCATCCATCAAGATGTCCTTCGTACCTCGGGGCAGTTCTACCTCAGAAATCAACCGTCCAACAGTGACATCGACACAATGCTACAAATGCAGGATGACAACGCCCGTTCTTTCATGACTCCCACGATAGACGGCGGCTTCATCCACGCTCCGGTCCCTTGAGTCGAGTTGTCTAGTTCTGAAACATCGATTGGCTCATGTTGTAATTAAACTTTAATGAACTTGTAGTATGTCTCTTTGGTTTTGAGAGTCGTTCAACTTAGATGTAATCGATGCTATTAATGTCTTGCTTTTCTCTTCCGATCGTTCTGTTGCATAATTATATATTGCTTATGTATTGTCTGTGAATTGGTACTAACGTTTCGTTTGGCTAGTGCATAGTGATGCCGACGTACAAGGGTAAGGTTCCCGGAGTCTACGATGACTGGGAGGAGTGTCGGAGACAGGTTCACCGATTCAGCGGTAACAGTTATAAAGGGTACACCACTAGGGCCGAGGCCGAATCTAGATACGCCCGCTATCTAGCGGGAGAGGGGAGGGAGCGTTGGAGGAACCGGATGAAGACGAGTTTCATCGTGATGATGCTCATCGTGATGACCGCAGCTCTCTTCTATGTGATGGTAGTTTAGATGATCGATATCGACTTGTAATGCGAAGACAAACTCGCTACTCGCGGTCTCGAGACTTATAATATAATGTTCTATCTTTGTTCGGTCTTTTTAATTCGGAGACTAATATGATGAATTGTATTCGGAGACTAATATGATGAATTGTATTCAAAGACTAATCTTCTATTGTATTTGATGAATCTATTGTTGATGTGTGCTGTCTATATTTTGTCAAATTATACATTTTGTAACCTGTGCAAAAAACAGAAAATAAAAAAATAAAAAAAACCTAATATTCATACTAATGGCGCATCACACGACAGTGCGCCATTAGTATGACAGTGCATACTAATGGCGCATCACCGGGTAGTGCGCCATTAGTATGCTGCGGTTACTAATGGCGCATCCAGAGGTGGTGCGCCATTAGTATGCCAAAGCACCTGGGTCTACATGCCAACTGGGAGGCATACTAATGGCGCACCCTCGCATATACTAATGGCACACCAGGTGGTGCGCCATTAGTATACCAGATACTAATGGCGCACCAGCTGGTGCGCCATTAGTAAAAATTACTAATGGCGTGCTATCAGTGGCGCACCAGTGATGCGCCATTAGTGGCCATATTAGGTGCGCCATTAGTAGTGGTATTTCAAGTAGTGCCTCCCCAATAACTGGCATCTTTCCACCGACGAGCGGGCGTGCCCAGCGCCAGGAGATCGAGCGCCGCCGCCACCTCCTCCCCCGACGACCTCTTCTACGACCCTAGGTCCCCCCCGACTCCGAGCTCTGGGACACCTGGTTAACAGACGAGCACGACGTGTGGCGCGCCTCCTTCTTCGCCGGCACGTCGTCGAGGCCACGGCGGCCACGTCCAGAGTGCGGAGCGGCTGCTCCCCATGTGCGCGGCCTCACGCCCACGCCGTCGCCACCACCGCCTCCTCGCATGACAGAGGAGGAGGAGGCCCGGCTGATCCAACGCGTCATGGAGGACTCCATGAAGACGCACGATGAGCGCCAATGGGAGGGCCTCCAGGAGATGATGGCCCTCTCTGCGGCCGGCGATGTCGCCATCCCCGAGCTGGAGATGGGGGACACTGAGGAGGAGGTCAACAAGGAGCTGCCAATCGCCGCTTTTCACCCAGGGCTGGTGGGCCAGGCGTGGAGATGGTCGTGCACGACTCCGGAGATGGCCGACGCCGTGGGGAGCGTGAACTGGTGCCCCACGCCGCCGCGGTCACTGGAGCGGGAGGCGTCATCACGGGAGGGGATGGTCCAGGCACCTCCCGCCTTCCAGCCCGACCCCGTGTACCAGGCACCGCCGTCCCACCTCTTGACGCCGCCGGCCTACGTCGACCTCGTCAGCGACGACGAAGACAACGTCGGCCATTGAGAAGACGGCGATGGGCACATCAGGAGCGCGCGGGCGGCGGTTTTTTGTTTTTGTTTTTATGTTTGCGTTTATATGGATGTGGACTGTGGAACTAGGGCCGTTTTGTGGCCGTAAAACCTCAAATTATGTTTATGTTTTTATGTTTGCGTTTATTATATTTTTTTTTCATTTTATTTTTTTTTTGTGTTTTTTTAATCACGTCCACCCCGGACATGATTTGGAATGTGGCCGCGCGTTGGGTACATCGATCACCCACAGGATCCAATCGGACATGGGTCGCTCCATTGCTGTTCCAAACTGGCGAAAACAAATTAAAATGGACTTCCGTGTAAGGTCGTGTGCTGATGGATTGCAGCAGAGTTGCGATCAAGGGTTGCCGCTGATCGGGCGAACCTGATTCCTGAGATTTAGGCTTAGCTTTTTTATAATGAGGATTGAGCAGCCCCTCTCCTAGCTGCTCCGGCCATTTGTGCCCGCGCCGACCTGTGTACGCGTGGTCAATGTCGGCATGTCTCTCTGTACTTTCAACCCCCTCCTATCAATGCAATGATACGCAATCTTTGCGTATTCGCGAAAAAAAGTAAGGTCTGTGCTCGAGTTAGCCTTAAACCCCGCTCTGCGTGCGCGCCAGGCCTGTGCTGTACCGCCTTTACTGCAGGCACCAGGTGGCCATGCCCCGACTCGTCGAGGGCCTACGACGCGACCTCGCCCGGCCGCAAGCGCAAGCGCGCGCCGGTGACATGCGCCGATACCCACAACACGCAACACATCGCGTCCGATCGAGCCTTCCCGCGGCCACACGCCGCACAGCCGCCCCCGCCACGTGCTCCGCGGCGCCTCACGCTCGCCTCGCCACCACGCGTGGGTCAACCCCACTCGTCAGCCAGAGCGAATGAGCGACGGCCGACGGTGGCAACCGTAACGGCAGCAGCGAGTCGGGTCGCGTGTTTATTAGTTCGGCTGGCACGCACTCGCGCCACACCGCACTCGTAGTTCTTCCACGGCGGCCACTTGCCTCCGCCCGTCGGCCTCCTTGGGTGCTCCTTTCTTTCTTCCTCCCCCGATGACCAGCTGAACCTCCGGCATTGCGCCGTCCGCACACTCCCACCGCCCTTCCCGGCTTCCGAGGTGCAATGGCGCCCTCCTCGTCCTCTCGCAGGGCCGAAGCTCCGCTCCTCCTGCTGCTCCTCTGCTGCATTTCCACGGCGGTCACCTCGCAGTCGCCGACGCCCGCGTCCTCGCAGGCCAAGACGCTCTACCGCGTGTGCCGCCTCCTCGGCTTCCCGCCCGCGCTGGCCGCGCTCGCCAAGGCGCCCGACCCCTGCGCGCTGCCGCCCACGCCGTCGCTCACCGTCGCCTGCGCGGCCGGCCAGGTCACGGCGCTCTCCGTGCTCGGCGACCGCCGGCCCGACCCGGCGTGGCGCACCGCGCTGCCCTCCAACTTCTCCGCCGACGCGCTCTTCACCACACTCACCCGCCTCCCGGCGCTGTCGCGCCTGGAGCTCGTCGCGCTCGGCCTCTGGGGGCCGCTCCCGGGCGCCAAGCTGCTCCGCCTCGGGGCGCTGCAGGCGCTCAACCTCAGCGCCAACTACCTCTACGGCGCCGTCCCCGAGCAGGTGGCGCGCATGTACTCGCTGCAGAGCCTCGTGCTGTCCGGGAACTGGCTCAACGGCACCGTGCCGTCCCTCTCCGGGCTCGCGTTCCTCCACGAGGTCGACCTGGGCCGGAACAGGCTCGACGGCGCGTTCCCGGGGGTGGGGAAGGCGGTGGCGACGCTCGTCCTCGCCGACAACAACTTCACCGGGAAGATCCCGGCGGAGGTGGCTTCTCTGGGCCAGCTCCGGTTCTTGGACGTGTCACGGAACCGGCTGGAGGGGTGGATCCCCTCCGCCATCTTCGCGCTCCCCGCGCTGCACCACATCAACCTGTCGCACAACAAGCTCTCCGGGCAGCTGCCGGCGAGCACGGCGTGCGCGGACACGCTGGAGTTCGTCGATGTCTCCGCCAACCTGCTCATTGGGGCGCGCCCGGCGTGCATGCGGTCCAACTCGTCGGCGCGCACGGTCCTCGACGCGGGCAATTGCTTCCGCGACGCCAAGCTGCAGCGGCCGAGTACCTACTGCAGCCCGGGGGCGCTCGCCGCGCTGCTGCCGCCGCCGCAGGGGAGCGGCGCTGAGCAGGGTGGGGGTAAAGGCGGCGGGGTGGGGATGGTTCTTGGCATTGTGGGCGGCGTCGTGGCAGGCGCATTGCTCATCGCGCTGGTGATGGTGGTGGTGCTGAGGAGGGCGAGGAGGCAGCACCCCGGGGTGATGGCCCTGCCGAAGTCACCGTTGATAAGGGCGGCGAAGAAGGGGGACAGCGCGAAAGCTACAGCGAAGATGTCCCAGAAGATCGCTACCCCTGCCGATAAGAGTAAGAGAAGAATAAATTCACCCTGCATTTGCTTTGATTGCTTCATTTCATTTCATTTGGTTACTGTGTGCTTCAATTAAACTGCACTCTTTACTACTAGTTCATCTAAGAAGGGGGCACAATATTATGGGCATTGTAGAAATGAATGAGTAACCTATGATTTGTGGTTCAAAGGGGCATTAGAGAATTGAAGGAGTAGTTTGAAACTTTGAATATTCGTGCTCTTGCGTATTTTATTTTTGAATCAAGCCTACTCACTTAAGTCAAAGTATCGTGGATCTTACTTAGACCCTGAGTTTTCAGAACATGGGACGGACCCTTATTCCTTGCTCCACAGAAGACTTTGATAAAGTAAAGCTGCAAAGTCAGACAACCAAAAAGGGAAAGAAAAACAATGATCAACGACTTATTAGCGATCAGTTAACATTTTGCAGGATACTAATATGCCTTGCCTAACATGGTCTGCATTTTCACAGGGCATGCATCGCAAGCCGCGATGGTAAATACGCTGGAAGTACCGGCGTATCGCGTATATACCACCGAGGAGCTCCAAGAAGCCACGGACAACTTTGCATCCTCCAACCTGATCAAGAAGAGTGCCCTTGCACAGGTATGTGATGCATCAATGCAACCCCTTTTGGCCATATAATGGTGGAGCTCTGCTTACTCTAGTCGTGGAACCATTGTGCAATTCAGTTCAACATATACTGCAGATAGCCTGATCATAGCAATGCACATATTTTGTTGTTGAAATTTGTGTGTTAAACATGTTAAGCTCTGCTAGCGTTCAGATCGGATCTTGTCAAATGGTCCACTCAAGCATCTCCATTCATAGTAGAGTACAATAGTGGGCTGCCAATTATTGTCCTCTTATGTAATTATTATTATGGTAGTCGCATTTGGTTCACATCTTATACACCTGACAAATAAAGGAAAAAAAATCTCTGTATTATTGGGGCTTGACAACCTGGCAAGTGTGGACTTCCATAAGCCTAATTACTTCACACATGGAGAAATTGCTTTCATTTTTTCACTAACAGTGATAGTACAACAATAGGTCATTCAAATCTTAATTGCTTTCATACCCCTTATTATTTCACATATTCGGAGTACACATGGGCGCGTTAGGCAGAACAACACACTAGGTGAGGATGGCAGCTGCTCCAATTTTTTCCTACCATGTGCACGAAGTCGAAATACACACTCGTATTTGTGCACATGGTAGGAAAAAAAATTAAGATTTGTGCACATGGTAGTGTGAGTGTCATCTGTGTGGGTTCTGCTCATCTACCGTGTACTACTTCAGGAAAAAGATTATTCAAATCCTAGCAATTTGAGTCTTTATAATTATGACTAACAAGATTGTTCCCTTGATATTTAGTGGACTGTTTTGGTCTACAATTGAATTGAGACACAAAACAACAGTTCATTTTATTATGTATTTATATTATACTACATTGCATCAGTTTATCGTGCACCATCAGTCTTTTTTAATCAGGTGGAGTTGAACTCTGTTTTCATCAATTCACCAGCTGTCTCTCTAGCAATTGTGAACCATGGTTCTGTTTTCAGTATAGTTTTCTCCGAGAAAGTTTGCCAAGACTAATTTTATCATTTGTTTATGCCCCATTCTCCTTCCCACTTACAGCATTACAACGGCCAGCTTCAAGATGGCACAAGAGTTTTGGTGAAATGTCTCAGACTAAAGCCAAAGTATTCTCCTCAGAGCCTGTCCCATTACATGGAGATAATTTCTAAGTTCCGCCACCGCCACTTGGTTAGCATCATTGGTCACTGTATTGTCAATGATCAGGAAAATCCCACTATTGCTAGCTCGGTATACCTCATTTCTGAATGTGTAACAAATGGATCTCTAAGAAGTCATCTTACCGGTAAGTATAGCTGGAGACATCACATGTACCATTACCATGTAGTATAACCAAATACCTGCAACTATCTGGCTTTACCCATTTGATGGCTTCACAGAGTGGAGGAAGCGCGAAATGCTGAAATGGCCGCAGCGGGTTACTGCTGCCATTGGTATCGCGAGAGGGATCCAGTTCTTGCACAATTTGACTGCCCCGGACATTGTACAGAATGATCTCAACATTGAGAATATTCTGCTGGACAAGACCCTCACTTCAAAAATTAGCGGCTTCAGTCTGCCGATGATGTCGACCAGCAAGAATGGCAAGGTACTTTTAGAATATTGGTCAAGTTTATTTTTTTAGAATGTTGTTGAAGTTCCTCACTTGCCTGACAGATATGTTGTAACCGTTCTTATCTCGCAGCTGTTCTCTGAAAACCCTTTCGCTGTCCAGGAAGAAAACGACCATGGCAGGTACAGTGTTCAGAAAGAAAGTGACATCTGCACTTAAATAAAATGGAACTAGGCCAGCTACTAGTTATCTGAACAGAGAACAGGCATGAACCTAATGATTAGTTGTTGGAACTCGAAAGACGCGAACCTAACCTATAAGACTGAATGTGGATTTGATTACGCTGGTCAACTTGTAATCCAAAATGACTATGGTTCTGTCTGTTTGCAGTGCTCAACCTGCAGAACATGGGGACAGGGATGACATATACCAGTTCGGCCAAATTCTTCTTGAAGTGATCACAGGCAAACCAACGGCGTCGCGAAGCGAGTTGGAACCCCTGAGAGCTCAGGTGAATCTCAACTTCTCAAGCTTCATATTCACATCACACTGAAAGCTTAGAACTTCCTACTGTACTTCTGAACATAGTATTGCATTTTGATTCTGAATTTGCGTCCTGTGTCAATCCGTGTAGCTGAGCGGGGCCCTGGCTGAAGACCCGGACATGCTGAAAGACATGGCCGACCCGACGATCCGCGGCACATTTGCGGTGGACTCCCTCAGCAAGGTGACTGAGGTGGCCCTCAACTGCACGGCTGGTGACCCCAGCGACCGGCCTTCCGTCGACGACGTGCTGTGGAACCTGCAGTACTCCATGCAGGTGCAGGACGGGTGGGCGAGCAGCGAGAGCTTGAGCTTGAGCGTGAAATCGCAGGCGTGGTGAGTGCGATGCTCTTTTGTAGCGGTGCACCTTTATGGCTGGCCTTTTGCTGTGGAAGGGAGAAGCAAATGTTACTTATTCCCCGTATATAGAAGCGTGCTACTCCAGAACATGGGGAGTATTTGTTGTTTTTGTCGTCGTAAACTCCAGCACTATTAAGTCGAAATCATTAGAAAGAGATCACTAGCTTTTCTTGTTTTTTTAAGAGATCACTAGCTTATTTTCTGTTGTTTGTTGTATAAACACCAGGGCTATCATGTTGAAACCATTAGATCACTAGCTTATGCTGACATCTGTCTATCTATCATCTATTACTATATAATTGTTAAACCTTGTTATTTTATTGTGTTCCGAATCCCATACAAGTTTTGTACTACAGATGGAGTCCTACCGGACTACGTCATGCCAACCGTGCTAGACATAGCATGACTACAACTCTGTTTGGTGTCCACCAAGAAAGAGAGTTGTTTGCCCCTTTATATAGTATCAGTTAGTCATAGAATAGATGTGTGAGAGAGCTCCACCAGATTAGCATGTAGAGGGTTTGTCCTCTCGTGTAATGTAATGCTTCTCCCAATTATAGTGATACGCGGCCGTGCGTTTCGTGGTTTTTTCCTACAAGGGTTTCCATCCAAAAATCCGTGTCTCTCTGTCTCGTTTATTCTCGGTTTTATCTAACAAACCTAAATGACTAATATTTGTTGTATATTACTATTAAATTTATTATAAGCTCTCTGTTTCAATCACAGCATGCTCCTCTTCCCCTTAGGGCATTCACAGTCGGATCCTTCAAAACCCTCTATACGTCCCGGCGGGCAACCCGGTCATGATGTCATGAAATTGCCATCCTACTGGACACCATGTACCCAACCTAAACATCCAGTTTGTCAGCACCCCTAAACCAAGTCCATATGTGGAATGGATATGAGGAGGCTCCTCAAAACCCATCGGTCCGCTGGGTGCCTCACTGGTGAGGACACATTCATGGCGTCACTTCGACGCACCGCCCTAGGGGCCAAACCCGACTATTTAAGCCAGACGTCCAGGCTAACACTAGCCCCGGCCTGTCGTCATTCACCCCATCTCCTCCTGTTCGCGCTGCTACCGTGAACCTCTTCGAGCAGCAGTCCACTCCGCCCTTGCCGTTTTGCTGGCCGCCATGTTCCGCACCAAGGTGACCTACTACAAGATGTCGACTCTAGAGCGCCCGGTGGATATCCAGGCAAAGAGGCGCACCGCTCGCATTGCGACCGGACTACCTCCGGAGAGAAGAGTTCGGAGAGGAGGAGGAGGCGGCGTCGGAGGAGAAGATGGAAGACGGGAAGGCGTCAGACAAGGAGATGGAGGAGGAGGAGGGAGAGGCCGTGTTTGGCACGGAGGATGCGCTGGCGCATTTCGAGCTCGCCCAAGCAGAGGAGGTGGCGGAGCGTCATGCCATCTTCGAGTCCATCCCGTCCAAGTGCGAGGTGGCAATGAACCACCGCTTTATCCATGAGGTGGACGTGAAGCAGGAGCAAGACTTCATGGACGAGGACGGCAGGAGGCGCTGACGATTCACCCCGCCGCGAACGACCACGAGGCCGACGACTCCGGTAACAAGGTTATCAACATATCCGACGACGGTTAGTTTGCTACTTTGTAGCTTGTTCTATGTCAGTGTACATAGATCAAAATGGACCTTGCATGAGTATTATGAAATGACGATTTGGAAATAAGGAGTGTGGTTGTAATGGCTAAGAAACGAGGTGTGATTGCCGGTGTCCACGACGCCTCCGACTTGTCCGCATAAGTTTTGGGGGTAACATTTGTGCGCTCCAATTGTAGATGCTCTTAACAAGGCATCCGCTGCCACCTCCTTTTCCCACCCTCATCTGGCGTCTGGCACTCCCGTCGGCCGACGCCACCTTCCTTTCCCACCCCAACTGGCATCCTCCACCATCACCTCTTTCATCCCCGGTGGTTGTTGTTCCTCGTTATGGCTTCTCCGTCCAATTTGGAGGCCTCCTCCTACTTCGCTTGGGAAGTCCTCGAATCTATGGTGGATTTTGTGCGCTTCCCCAGCATGAACTTTGTCGGATCCATACGTCGTTCCCCCTAACCGGTCGGGGGTGATGGGAAAGTTGTGGTCGTTGTTCCCCCGTAGAGCTCTCGTGACCATGGTCCTTCTCGTCATCCTTGGTGCCTTGCCTCTCTGGTGGTCGCTCCCGTGCTGGAGTCGCCGGCCCGGCACCGGTGGTGGAGGAAGGAGGTGTGGAATGACACCTAGTTCACAATAATAGGCCGTAGAGATCCCCTAGCCCCCCTTGTGTATGTCTGCATCGGGAGGTGCGGTGCGGACAATTGTGAGGACATGGAGTTTGTGAGCTCGAGCTCACATGCACTGTATAATTCAAACAAAATACTTAAAGAAAAACTGATTTTTGTCTATAAACATTGATGAGTGTTTGACATGCATGCAATTGTTTGTGCCGGAATGACGTTCATGGAGGCTTGGAAAAAAGATGCTTCAAAAACTGTTTTTGAAGCATTGATTTTGTTTTTTTCTGAGACTTCCATGAATACAATTCCATCATGAAAAGTTGCATGCATGTGAAACACACGTCGAGCTCACAAGAGCATTTGGCAGTTGCGAGGACTTTGCCTCACATCAGGAGTGTTCCTCTGCTTCGGCAGCTCGGTTGCTTCGTTGGTTCTCGCTGCAAGTCGAGTTTTCACTTCAAGGCCTTGTTTGGTACTAGTGTATTTTAGAGCATTGGTGGGGATTATCCCGGTCAAACCCCTAAATCTCCACATATCCCAAAACAAAGTTTCGTTCTAGTGTATTTGACATGCTTCATCCCCACATTTTCCCACAAATCCCCAAACTCCAGTTCATTTTTCTCAATAGCAAATACACTATCGCTACCTAGTGTATTGGGGATAAATGGGGATTTGAAGGGATTGGGTGAAGGTTGGGGTTTAGCCCAATCCCTATGGGGATTATCCCCACCAACCCCCTCAAAAACCATAGTATGTGTGGCACAAGAGTTTTTCCAGCCCCTAACGGGTAGGGGATTGTAGGTAGGGGATTTGGTGATCCCCTTCCCTCCACCCAATCCCCTCAAATACCCCACATCCCCTCTCATCCCAATCCCCCACATAAACATATTGTTTGGCAGGTGGGGATTGCCTTTGTATGATTGGATAATCAAAATAAAAAGGTGATCTTTGTAGACCATCACATCAACAACATAATTCTGCATGACTTGGAATCAATATCACATCACAATAATAGTTCATCACAACCACAACATAATTTTGGCACAAAGATCACAAAGATTATTGGATAATAATACTAAAAAAATGTGATCTTTGCATCACAACAACAACATAATTTTGCATTACTTGGAATCAGTACAAATCGTAGCAACAAGAATTCATGAAAGCCTCGACATACTTTTGCAACAAGGAGAATTCAACATAGAGTAGTTGAGCAATAACTCAGGACCAATTATGTTTTCGCAAACCAAGCAAGGCTGAGAATTATTGCATACCAGGAAAGGATGAAAATGAAGTTTTAATGAGATGAATTGCTCTTTCGATGTCATGATAACCAATTTTTGAGTGGCCAAAAGTTTATCCACCTTGTTTAGTCTGGCATCCTCGGGTGCCTGAAAAGCTGATGAAACAAACGAGATGAACATGTGTGTTTATACTTGAAACAACAATGAAGAAAGTATGTGCATTCAATCTACCAACTATCATTGTTGTCGAAAATTAGACTAGTTACTGGACTAGTTACAATTTCACATCCAGTAGCTAGTTACTGGACTTATATCTAAATAGATCATTGCTGTCGAAAAGGAAAAATTGAACACAAGAAAGACTAGTTATCTGTGTCGACTAATGGAAAGGAGAGAGCCCAACTTGGGAAATGAAAACTGAAATCCCCCCATCTACGTACCAGGAGTCTAGGACTAGTCGAGAAACATGTAGTCACTGTCCACCGCAAACGTGTAGCCAAAAACTAGTTCATTATACAGGTAATAGGATCAAGTTGAGGCATGATTCATGTGATCTTAGTGCTGAGAAACCAGCACCTACTACTGAACTGAACCCATATTACGAAACATAATTGGTAAGTATCAGCTGTTCTTGATCTTGATGTAAATATAACAAATGAAGGCTTCACCTCTCTAATCAAAGATGCAAGTGCATCACTACAAGTTGCAGCCAAATCTAGCAGCAAGCATACTAGCAAGAACTAAGAATATACAAGGCCATCAAAGAATCATATCAACACGCCAACGAGTCAAACCCTAGATAGAGGGGAGGGGAGTTGTGAGCTGGAAAACCAGTCCGTACAGACGAAAATGCCAGGTCTCCAGAAGGATCTAGACGTTGGAGGCGGCAGGGGTTGAGGCAGTGTGGACGGTGACGGCAGGAATGGAGTGGACGTCGACGGCGGCAAGTGCCAAGAGGCGTCAGGATTTGAGGCAACACTGGTCTGGCTCGGCTTGGACGGAGTCGAGGAAGAAGACAAACCAACGACGAGCTGCGGGACAGAGGGCAGAGGGTGGAGGAGGCAGCGCCATCACAGTCAGGGGAGAAATTTCGCGAGGGGAAGCTCGCGTCTCCTCTCACACTAGTATTGGAGGGTTTGAGATGTAAATTTCGGGATGGGCCGGTCCAATACGAGGGTACCGAATGGGCCTGTGGGGAATTTTCGGGATTTCTATACCGGGCCGGTAAATACTCTTCAAATGTGTAAATACACCAGTGCCGAACGAGGCCTGATGGTGCTGTAGCAGGTCGGGTTTGCGCTGCAGCCTGCGAGCTGGTTGTAGTCGTGTGGGCAGTTGGCTGTTATCCCTCTTACCCATTTCTTCCATGTCTTTTAGTCGGCTGTTGTTTCCATCTCTGCCCTGCTCCTCCTCTTGGGTTGTTGCTAGTAGTTGCAGTAGTTTTTTTTTTTTTGAAACAGAGGCAAAAGCTTTGCCTTTTTCATTAATAGAGAAGAAGAT